TGTGTGCTAGGAAGGCAGTGCTCTTTAAAATGTAATGTTGACTTCCTTGCGATAGGTTTACTGGAAGTGGGATTTATGGTTTTGCTTTAGGCTGTTGTCTTCCAGGCAGGCTTTTTGGGGTTGCAGCTGTAGCATGGCATTTAGCGTCATTTTCAACGTTTAATTGCTCATAAGTGGCATTATATGCTCTTCAAAACTTTGAAAAGATGGTATTTTGCTCTTCATTTTAAGTCATGCGCATGTAATATCTGCCATAAGAACCAAAGAAGCTATTTTTAAACTGGGATTATGGATGAGAGAAATTTAGCTTTTGCTCCTTTTCTCCTATGCATGCTGTACATTTACAATGCTTTGTGTGCTATACATATACAAATGCTTTGGTCATTGCAAGCCATAAAAGCTGACATCTCAATTAAAATAAACACTATGGATTTTAATTGATAGAACGAGAATTTCTTCCTATAATTTCAATTTTTCAAGCAGATGACTTTACAGCCCTGGAGAACATAATGGCTACAGCACTAATACAAGCATTTCCACAGTAACCTGCTAATGTGACTCAAGCATGGCTTGACAGGGCCATCTTCAAGGGTGAGGAGGGCAGAGAGGCTCTAGGAACATTCAGTCCATGATTTGGCTGTAAGAGCAACAACTGTAATGCTTTGTGTAATATAAATTTTAATGGGAATAGGGTTTCCAAACCCCTTAGGCAGATTTGACAGCCTTGGCCTCTGTGTGTCTGTCTTAATTAATTATTAGTATTTGTGAAACAGGTTTAGATCATCAGATTAATGAGAGCATATATGTCCATGGTAGTAATACTGATTTATTACTGTATTACTTCATAAAATGACCATGGTTTAAAAAAAAAATCCCAAGATCAATTCAGTTTTTAAGTACATAAGCCAGCATATCGTCTAACATCTGAGTACAATGTTGGACCTTAGTAGTAAACAGTTTTCAACCTCCATAGACATCTTTAGGGATCGCTTTACTGAGAATGAAAAATCATTGATTAAAGAGATCAAAATAATAGCTTAGCCCAGAAGATTTAAATTTAATAAACACACTTATGTGTAAAAAACCACAGATTCTGAACCACAAAGCATGGCTAGTCTTATCGTGGTTTCCTTCTCAGGCAATAATCCATTCACCTAGCGTAAAAATAGTCCAATAGTATCTATTAGCATACTTTCTTGTTGTGTGTCCATCCTGTTTGCTTCTCTTAAGGCTCCCACCTGCTGTACTCCAAGCAGTGAAGCAGGCAATCCAAACAGTTTATCATATTGCAAATAAATGCATGTATTGATTTTTAAAAAAATTAACATTAAAAAAAATTCTCAATTTATTACCTAAAACTTCAATGGGGAGTTATATCTGAAGATTCACGTTCTTCATCCCTTCCACAGCACACTTCTATTTAAACCTAAGATAACTAGAAAATATAGTATTGAGGTAAATTTCAAAAAAATCTTTGGCAAAAGCTATTTCGAATGTTCCTTTTTAGGATTCAAGGCCCTTACCCAAAAGAGAGCTACGCTAGGCTTTTAGCACTCACACACTAAAAATTGCCTCAGACCTCAAGGCAATTGGCCATAATTTGGTGTCAGATATCTGTTATCACCTGCTTTGTTATTAAATTCCTTTCAATTTGTATAATTTCTGTGATTGGGATTAGAGTATTGCTAAATACTCATTTGTGTGAAAGCTTCAGATGATCTGTTTAGTTTTAAATCTCAGAGCAGAAAAGAAACGCTGATTAGAAAATTAGGATGTGGCATTTTTTACAAATTGGTTTATTATAGTTTCTCTGATGAAGGGAAAGGGAAAAAGAAAATTCCTTCCTATATGCATCTGATTTCTAAAAGAAAAAGGAGGCGATTTGATCAGTGAACTTTGTTTGCGTTTCAGTGCTCTACTAGGAAAGCTTGTGGAGAAATATTTGTGAAAGTTTGGGGTAAAAAACAAAACCACAAAAACAACAGAAAGAAAAACATTTCTCAGTGAAAACTCCTGAATATTCATAACATTTTGGCAAACTTTCTTATTTTGAAACGCATAGCTAACACATCTGATCAGGAAAAACAGCAAGGACAGAGAACCACTAAATGTCTGAACGTTAGTACAACCTTCAAATGGAATTGTATCCATGGTTGCAGAGCTTACTGTACCATGTACAACTATGAGCAGCAAGGAATGCCCTGTGAACAGTATCACAGCTAGCTCTCAGCCAAAACAGCTTGCTGATGAATGGAGTAAGAGAATGCAGAGTCTAGATATTTTTCAAGAAATTAAAAAAAAAAAAACAAAACCAAAACCTAAACAAAACAAACCCACCAAAAGTTCCACAACAAAACCCTTTGGTACAGCTTTTGCACCAAGAAGTAACCCCTGCTTCCTACAAAAGAGGGAGCATGCTTATTCAAGGTCTTTCATTATTAAACCTGGAGTAGGGTCAGAGACTCCAGGTAGTCCTCTAGAGACTCCTCTGCTGCCGGTGGGTTGATAGTGAAATGCACTGAACTGTATCTCTGTTGAGTGAATGTGAAAAACTTAAAAAACATAATGTTTCAATTTCCAGATGAGTCAGACTTATGCCTTTGCCATTCCTTTTTCTTAAATCATCAAAATATTCTGGTTTAAGTGGAGCATGGTATTAATTGTTTCTCAAGTTCTTTTAAACCACTTTCTATGGAGTGAACCCTGTTTGAGTGAAATGAATGAGAATTTTCCACTGATTTCAGTGGATATATAATCAGTGGGTATAAAATCACACAAATTAATCACCCTGATAGAATTAGAGATTACAGAGTCATGGAATCACAGAATGGTCGGGGTTGGAAGGGACCTCTGGAGGTCATCAGTCCAACCCCCCTACCAAAGCAGTTTCACCTACAGCAAGTTGCACGGGTTCACATCCAGGCAAGTTTTGAATATCTCCAGAGAAGGAGACTCCACAACGTCTCTGGGCAGCCTGTTCCAGTGCCCTGCCACCATCAAAGCACAGAAGTTCTTTCTCATATTCAGATGGAACTTCCTGAGTTTCAGTTTGTTCACCTGTTGCGGGGCACCACTGAAAAGAGTCTGGCCACATCCTCTTGACACCCACCCTTGAGATATTTATAAGCATTGATCAGATCTCATCTCAGTCATCTCTTCTTCAGGCTGAACAGACCCAGCTCTCTCAGCCTTTCCTTGTAAGAGACATGCTCCAGTCTCATCGTCATCTTTGTTGCCCTCTGCTGGACTCTCTCCAGTAGTTGTGTTTCTTGAACTAGGGAGCCCAGAACTGGACACAGTACTCCAGATGTGGCCTCCCCAGGGCAGAGTAGAGGGGGAGGATAACCTCCCTCAGATAACATCCCTCGACCTGCTGGCCACACTCTTCCTAATGCACCTCAAGATACCATTGGCCTTCTTGGCCATGAGGGCACATTGCTGGCTTATGGTCAACTTGTCCACCAGGGCTCCCTGGTCCCTCTCCACCAGGCTGCTCTCCAGCAGGTCAACCCCCAGCCTGTACTGGTGCATGGGGTTATTCCTCCTTCGGTGCAGGACCCTACACTTGCCTTTGTTGAACTTCATTAGGTTCGTCTCTGCCCAACTCTTCAGCCTGTTCAGGTCTCGCTGAATGGCAGTGCAGCCTTCTGGATTACACCTTTCTTAGGCATACAGGCATAACTGTTTTAAGCATGGTAACTTATCCTACTATATTCAAGGTAAATTAACCTGTATCATACACAGTGTTCAAAGTCTGCTTTAGCAGACAATGCAGAAAAGAGGTTCTTACCACATGCTGGCTCATATGCATTAAAAGCAGGAAATTTTCCAGTTTTGAGAGTTCAGCCAATATGGGTGTTTCTTTAATAGATTTCAAAAGGCAAACTGCTTTAAAATTTAGCTACCCATCCCAGAGTACTTAACATATTCCTCCATTGCAAAGTTTCTTTGAAATGTTACAATCCTGTATCAGGATATTTCAAGCATTCATGACAAAACCCTTAAGTAAAGACTGTAGTTTTGCCAGACAAAGCTCTGTTCCCTCCTTGAATTTAAGATTTCAGGGTCAGTTTACCGTGTGCCTTGTAAACACAGTCCTCCTCGTAATGCTCTTGTATAATGCAATCACTTAAGGGTCCTCAATAGCATCTGAGAGTCTTGGAGTCACTTAGTACTTAGCTTAATGTTTGATTTTAGCATATAAATTAAAGAACTGTATGTGTCTGTGCTTAGATGTAACTAACTATATAGATGGAGAGCAAGTTTATAAAAAAGTCTTTTATTTGCTTCTCTTTTGAGAAACCTTGTGCTTTAAAATCTTGCTGCAAAAACACTTAGAAGGTTACTACAGGTAGAGTTGTCAGAGAAAATGGACATTGTTGTTTGGTATTAAAATCATGTATTCCAGATGTGGGCATTTGTTAGTCAGTCTGCTCTAAAATGACATACTGTTGAATCTTTAAAGGGCTTCAGTTTGGGAAAGCAAAATATGATTGGGCAAATTGCTAAAATATTTAAAGTGCAGCCTGTTAAAGCTTTTACTGCGAAGAGCATCACGTCAGAAGTTGTATGTGGTAAAAGCAAGTAATTGGCTTTCCATACTTATGCCAGTAAGTCAGCATGGGGCTCTGTTCCTATCCCTTCTGCTTCATTGCAGATGCTAATAGCAACTCTGATATTTATTTTGGAGGGGTGGGACTGGAAAGAAAGGAAACTTTTATGGATGTGATGGTGTCAGAAAACCTTGTTTAAAATGAAATGGTTATTGGTGTAGAAAGAGTATAGAAAATCTTTGAAACGGCACCCAAAATTTAAAAATTATCTTTTTTTTTTTCTTTTCAGCTTTTGTTTAAAAGTGCCCACATTGAAAGCATATTGAAGTGTAAATACCTTTCATATTTTTACTTTTATCCCTCTTTGTACACAGCTCTTGGGATATCTTTCAATCCATAATTCATAATATTTTCCACTTATGTTGTCCTCAACTTGTTTTTCCCCAGGCATGACCCCTTGTTAATTCCTGGCAACGAGCAGATTGACAATATGGATGCCAATGTGAAAAAATATGACTCTACAGGGATGTTTCATTGGTGTCCAGCCAAGGACATTGAAAAGGTCATTTTGGTAGGTATTGATGATAAGTTGTGTTTGAAAAGAAGTTATTTGAACCATACAATTGATGTCTAATAGATTAATAAAGTAATCTCTACTGTCATTAAATCCAGTGTATTGAAATCAGAAACACAGTGTGGTGAAATCAAAGCTGGCATTTTGGTTAAATGATTATGGTTATATAAATCTGTATGCCAAGTGCAACAATAAAATTGGTCCAAGATAGAGAATTTCTTTTTCATACGCTGAAATTGTATGTTTGGTTCAAATCTTTAGAGAATTAAGATTGGAAATATTTAAATGTGTACATACCACATTTATCTTTTTACACAAGGCAGTAATACTTCTAATACAGGCAAGTGTTGCTTTGCATTATCTCTTATTTCCTGGTGTGAATTTTGCTCTCTTAGAACTTTCTCAATTTCCAACATTTCAAGATGCCCAAACAGGCCAGAGTAAGTAGTTCTACAACTCTGCCTTTCTAGGATATTTCAGCAACCCAAGTCTATGTTTGTTTCATTTGTTTACCTGGGGAAGCCACCAAACTGACTCCAGTCATTAAAAATAATTAGAAGGCCTATCACAGTCTATTTTACTCGGTGAAAGTTTGTGCCACTTGTGTTCATGTACTCATACCTAAGAGTAACAAGTAACTAACTCCAGAGCTCATATACAAAACTGATGATGTCTGAAATGAACTCCCTGGTGGGTCTTCACTTTGTCGCACTTCATAAAGCTTTTCCTGAGCCTGCTCTCTTAGTCTTTCCTGCACTGTGGTGTGGTGTAGCCGACGATGGTGACAGCCACGGTTTATTCTAGCAATCAGGGGTTAAAAGCCTGTCTCCACTTCTCCTCAGGGGTTTCTGTAATAACCGTGACATTGCCTGGAATTGCAATATCGGTGTTTAAACAGTCAAGCAAGTAAATTCCAAATTCTAGAGACTGAGCTGTGAGATGGAGTTTGGCTGAACAGCTTTAAATAGTATGCATTTAGATGTATTCAGCAGGCAAGGAGGGGCAGCCCTGCTGTACAATACTTTGTAACAGACAGAGATAGAAATCTGCCTTCATGCTCTAAACACATTTTTGCCAGCAACCTTTACATGTTGTCCCATTTGAAAACTAGTTGTCCAAAAATGGCTCTGTGGAGTGCCTCATTTATCATCTCTTGGTGATACCATGTCATTTTTTCCCCCTACTAGCCTGTGCATGTGTAAGTCTGGCCAGGTTCTTCCTGCTTCATGCATCATCACCAATAAAGACACTGCGAGCAAAATGCTTTCTTACACCTTTTCAAAATCACAGTCCACAGTTTATGTCTACATTCATATCCATGCAAATTTAATGCTGTCCTTAGAGACCACACAAGTACAAATCAGTACATAATTTGAAGATGACGAGATTTCCCAGGTTGTCTTCTAATTGGTACTTGATGATGCCTCAATCAGAAAAGAATTCATTTTTCTGCCCAAGGTCTGTTTTGGCTCTGCAAGATTCCAGCAGTACCAGGTAGTAAGAACTTTTTTTGACATACAGTCAAATGTATGTGGCTACATACAGATCAATGACTACAGAGAGACTTTTTTTTACAGAAATTCTTTCAAGACTTGCTCTCTGTCTTGCAAAGTCTGTGTATTCCAGACTCATAGGCAGAGGCATGAGATAACTTACATGCTTCACTCAGATCTTTGAAGGGCCAAGACCACTCTCTTGGTAGAATTGTATGAAAATGAGTGTAATTGCCCCAGAGAAATTGAAAGCTCATGTATTTTTTAACTGATGAGAAAACTTCTAATCAGAGTTCCTGTTCTTCTTACATAGTGAACAGCTCTGCTGCATATTCCAGTCTGTATTGCACATTGTCATGTTTCCATAATTTAGAAAAAGGACATATAATGTGGGTAAGTGAGGGGAAAATTTGGCAGTTCACCATTGTCTTAGTTCTAGTCATTAGCAAAACTTCTATTGAATGGTACTGACTGTACAGCTTCTTGGCAATATGATGTCAGTGGATCTGCAGCTACTTGATGGAGTGGATTAATGCTAAGACTGGCTCCAGAAATGAAGGTCATTTTTTCCTAATGACTTTATTTAATCATCTTGGGTTTTGAGTTGCCTGCTCAACTGACATTACCACTAATGAAATTAGTGCAAGAATTTATTCCTGTCACTGAGACAAGAAGATAATACTGAACATAATTCAGATGTTCTCCATGAGACTTTTTTCATTCTATCTATTCAACAACTCAGGAAGTCCAGTGGGCCTGAAAAGTGAGTATTAGTCGTGCACACAATTTTTTCCTTACTGAGAGAAGCTCTGTGGAGTATGGTGAGAATCCATTGTAAAGCACAACAGTGTAGAGCGTTCTTTGATTGCTTCTCAGGGTAATAGCAGCTTGTCCTAAAATAAGAACTTTGACTCTAAGAGAATATGGTCCTCAATTCACAAGATATGTATAATACCCCAAAGTCCTACTAAGACCATTGGGCACTCACATTTTCCTTTTCAAATTGTTCCTGAAAAAAAAAACAAAACCCACTAGTGATTTGTCAGCTAAGGCATGATTGTGCATCTCTTTTCTATAACCCTTCTAATGGCTAAATGCATGGTAGGTCAAATTCTGTTCTTAGCTAAACCCATAGTACTTTGATTCTAACCAGAGTCTCATTCCACATGCGTAGAAACATATACAGGACCAGAATTCAGTCCAGCACAATGTCTTCCTGAACACTGAAGGATTTGCAAACAAAACCAAAATTTTCTTCTGCTGAGCACATCTAATGAAGGATAAATAAGGGTAAAATGAGCAGCTATTATCAAACTGCTTCTTTGTGCATGAACAATATTGACAGTTGTGTTTTTCCTGGTTTAAAACTCAATATATGATTTAAGCTTCCCTTTGTTTCATTTCTCCCTTGTCTTTTTGTTTTGTTTTTGTTTTTTTAGACTCGAAGTGAAGCAGCGATGACAGTTTTAAGTGGGCATGTAGTCGTTTGCATATTTGGGGATGTTAAATCTGCTTTGATTGGATTAAGAAATTTAGTGATGCCATTACGAGCCAGCAACTTTCACTACCATGAACTCAAGCACATTGTGTTTGTGGGTTCACTTGAATACCTGAGAAGGGAATGGGAGACACTGCATAACTTCCCCAAGGTTTCAATCTTGCCTGTAAGTCCAAAGCCATATTATTGATACTTTGTTATTTAGGACACCAACTGGACAGATTCATATTGACTTTGATCTTAGGCTTTTTTACTTTTGTCTACTTATAGGCCTGAGGACTTAGATTTTCCCTTTACTGTGTCTATGAAAACAGAGCCCTGTGAGACCTTATTAGAAGATATTTGCTGCAGTGTTTGGTTCCTCGTCATCCTCATCGGATGAATTTCAGCTGCTATCAAGTGTATTATCTATGTTATATATCGAACATTCACTGTAGTGCACTGCACGTAGCCAATTCTGATGTTGTGATTTCCCTGACAGAATGACAGTAGTTATTTATGACATTATTTATGTATTTATACGCACAAAAGCTTTGAAAAAAATTATTGTTGCTCTATCTACATAATATCTATCTATATTCATAAAAAAATCCTGTAGGCTGGACTACTTTATAAGGAACATTGCCATAGCATTTCAGTTCAGAGTCTTGCCATACTCATGTACGGAAGTATGGCAAAAGCCTGACCCTTTTGAAATCGATGAAAGTCTCCTATTGATTTTAGTAGGGACAACCACTAAAACCACAATTCAGAGGTCCTTTTTCTCCTATGTATCATTATCATTCACTCATATGCCCAAAATGTAGAAATGCAACCTCCAGGACAAACAAATGAAGCCCTCCAAGCTAGTGATCTTAGGTAGTTGTAGCTGTAAATGACCTGCAAAGATGTAGGCAGGAGAGAAACGAGCCCACAGTGTAAGTACGAAAGAGAATGCTCTGTACGTTACAGAGTAAAGTTAGTTTGGATGTTTTTATCAGAATGAAAAAATATGAGTTTACCAGTTCTTAGTAATTACATTTCACAGTTAAAAATAAATCAATGATGGATGTAACCTAAACTGAATAATTGGGAAAATAGCTATAGAATGGAAAGACTGCCTTCACTTTTTGATTAATTCAGGCTGTAGGTCTTTGTTACTGTAAATGCAGTTTTAGTGTTAGCCCCTGGCTTTTTTCTGCAAACTGATCCAAGAGATGGTGTCACAAGATTCTCTGCTGTCACAAAAATGGTGTCAGTATCAGATTTGGTCAGTTAATATCCTCCTCTTCCTGCCAATCGCTTTTAATTCCAGTCACTGTGAAGGCTAAAGACTAAGCAATCAGAATGAAATTGATAGTACTGTTGAACTGTGAAGCAGAATAGAATCCAACTACCACTTCCAAACTATCCAGTATATAATGTGTATCCATTATTATAATGCATATTTGTAAAGTTTCGATTCTGAATTCTGAAGAGACATTAAGGAAATGTACACCACCTTTACATTTCCCAATCAGTTTGCATCAAAATTTAGAGTAGTTTTGGACTAATTTGAAGTTAAACAGTGTAAATAGTTAATACACCTTTAAAAATACAGAATATGTAAAGGAATTGTATCTTACACAGTAACCAAAGGTGCTGAAGACCACACCAATCTCCTTACTGCTTTTTCTTTTTTTTTTTTCTTCCCCTAGCCTATCTGGTTCAAAATGGTGATATAAAGTTAAAAATATCACCATTATTCTAATCTAATTATACTAATTTAAAACTCTACTGAAGTATCTGAGATCATACTGGTAGGAATCATGTGTTAAAGGGAGGCCACTCAAACTCATTTCCTAATTCTCTGTGCTTTGGTTCACGAGGTAAAACTTGCTGCTGATATCTGATGGGGATGTGGTTACAGCTGAATATAAGAACAGTTTTTCTGGTTTAAAAAAAAGGTGGAAATTTAATTTAAAGTCTGTATTAAAAGAGGCATTTAAGCTGCTGAGTAAACTCTTAAAAAGTAGGCAAATGCCAATTTTAAATATCCTTAGGCAGCCTTAATTCTGTCCCTTTGCATAAAATCATTAGGTGTAAGCCTTTAATTAATGACATGATTGCATATTATTTTTCCCCACAGGAATCCTGCTTCACTTGGTGCACAGTACAGACACAAAGGGCAGAATTAAGGTGGCAGGAATAATTGTATTCTAACTTTTGAGCACTTTATAACTACATCATATCTGTTTGATATATACTGTTTTCCACAAGGTTTCATGCCTCAAATTATTGAAAGTAACATGGAATAGTCAGGCTGGTATCTGAAACTAGGTGGCAATCACTGAATAAGAATTGAACTCTGCCTTCACTTTCTGCATTTTAAATTCACTTTTGCATTCAATATTCTCAGTGGAGTTCAGGAGACGTTCACCATGAGTGATCAGGAGATGGAAGAGTAGGGTCTTGACTCGGTTTTATGAAAGTTGTTGTGTGACAAGGGGACAGCTTAGTCTCCTCATCATCATTAGGGTCTGGGTACCAAACCATGTGAGGCAGCTGAGCAGAATCTAGTTTCCATAAAAAAACTTTTTTTTTTCCTGGAACTTGTAGCCCATGTGACATAGACTTAATATTCTGTAGCTAGAGATGTGGACTGTTGGATGTGAAAGGCAAACGTTATCTTTAAACAAAACATAATGGGTTAAGTGTCATTTCTCAGTTGTGTTAACCACAACATTTCATTTTAATTACTGCATTCTCTGATTGAGAATTGTGGAAGCAGGGAATGTTGCATGAGTTGTACCCCTTAAGATAAAGTCTTGTTTCTGTTTCAAAGGGTTTAATCACACAACTTTGAAGATCAGTGTGTTTTCATTCTAGAAGCACCAAAAACATGCATTGAAAAGGATTAACCTTTTTTGTGTGTTGCTTCAGGTAGAAAAAAATAGCTTTATCCTGATTGCATTTCAAATGTGTAGGACAGATAATGCTTTCGTGTTTAAATTGCTATTCTTTTGCCCAAGACCATTGTGACTTGGTCATAGATAAATAGATGTTTAAAACACACCCCTTGTTATATTCAGAGAGCCAGAGGTTACCACACAATAGCAACTTAAATCAAGACAATTTCAAGTCACTGATGAGATGTAGAATGCTGGCATTATTCCTGTTTCTTGTTTGTTAGTAATAGCTTGACTGAGTATTGAGACTGAACCTAAAATGCTGCCATCAGCACCAACTACCCTTTAGATTAGCACACATCTCCTATTCCCTGGCACATAGTTAGTCCAGCTTAATGTCAGAGCATAAAAAAGATACTTGTTAAATAATTTCCCAAAGCTCCTTCTCAATCTTTAATTTGTTTTTCTTTTTTTCCTTTCTTGCCCCCCCCCCCCCCCCCCGCCCCGCTTTTTTTCTCTGTGCCGAAGGGTACACCATTAAGTCGGGCTGATTTAAGGGCTGTCAACATCAACCTCTGCGACATGTGCGTTATCCTGTCAGCCAATCAGAATAATATTGATGATGCTTCGCTGCAGGACAAGGAATGCATCTTGGCGTCACTCAACATCAAATCTATGCAGTTTGATGACAGCATTGGGGTCTTGCAGGCTAATTCCCAAGGTAAGGACTGCCCTATAATACTTCTCTGCAGTGCCTACAGGGGACAGGACCTGGCAGGAAGAATATCCCTCACTCAGTAATTCAAAGAGCCCTACATCAGCTTGCTTGACAGTTAAACCTGCTGATTGGTATGATGGCTTTTAAAGGGACAGTCACATAGTTTCTCTGCTACATCACAAAGCACATCTTGTAGAGGAAAAATGAATGAACATGAAACTGGCATTTTTTCTCATTAAAAATTTTTCCTAAAAAAAAAAAATAAAATCATTCCCTTCTCACCCTGCCCTGCTCTTTGGCTTTCTTACCAGGGCAGTTGCTGTTATATAGCCAAAGCTTACTCATACTCACTTTGGAATATCTGAAGCTTCTGTCTAACAAGGTTTCTTTTTTATGTAAAGCACATTGCAGCCACAGAGAAAAAGAGCTGAGTAATACAAGCCAAAAAGTAAAATAAAAAGAACAAGAATTTCAAATTGTCTTTACAGTTCCTGTGCCTTCTTGCTCAAAAACCCACTTAGAATTAACTCAAAACTGATTTCTTCCCATGCTTTGACATGTAGTCATCCCATTTAAGGAAACTGAACAAAAACCTTGAGTCTTTGCTGAGAGTAGGGGACTGATTCATGGGTAGCCAAAGGCTATTTTACACCAACTGTGCTTGTGCAAAGCAGCTACAAAGCAATCATAAGCACCCTGGCAATGACTATCAGTGTAAAAACAATCATCTTCCCATCCCTGAAGGGTCTTGCAACTTATGCAGCTGAAATCCTACCTATGATAAACCTATTAATGCCGCGGTAAATGTTCCCTCTGGTGCTAGCCTTGCTATAAATGTAGGTGTAGAAAGGATAGTGCTTTGGTTTGCAATTTCCCCGTGAGCCTGACCTAGAGCTGGTTTTCCCTCAAGGACTGTGAGAACTAAGATTAAGTTTAGTTTTTCCTCTTTACACTCTAATCAGGAAATAGGAATTATGAGCCAAAAATCAGAGGTGGTGGTGTAACTTCTTGAATATGGAAACTTCTGGAATGTGGAAATTTCTTTCTTAGAATCAGCAGTAAAACTGTGTCCCCTAGTTTGGCTAAAACAGGGCTATTTCTCCTTTCCATAGTTTTTTCTTCAGTTAAGTTTCTTCTAAGTAACTGCACTTTCTGAAGTTAGGTACATGTTTTTCAGAGAGTATCTGCTTCCAGAATTGATAATGCTTGATGCTTATACTTGTTACTAAAGTAACAGTGAGATTCATATGCAGAAAGGCCCATGTTTATACTTATTCCTATGGGAATCAAGGTCACTACTGGCTCTCTTATGTTAACAAGTGAAAAGATGTAAAAGGGTCACACCTGCTGAAAAGTGCGGATGGGACAGGTGACCAAAAACTAACCATCAAGGTATTCCATCCCATACATGTCATACTCAGTATAAAGCTAAGCAATCATGGGGGTCAGGCTTTCTTCTTTCATGGCCGGCATCCCTATGAGACCCTGCTCATTCTCCTGCCTCTGATCCCAATCCGTGTATTCCTGAATCTGGTTCCTGTTGGCTGTGGAGTCCAATCCAGGACATCTGGGTACCTGCCTTGCTGCAGCAGCTGTGTGAGCCACCACGGCCTGCAATTTCCTGATCATTTTTGGGAAGTTCAGTATTGGGTTTGTATTTTTTGTCTTTTATTTCTATTTTTATTAGTATTGGTATTATTACACTATTTTTCATTGTTATTGTTTTATTAAGGTAGTTTTAATTTCCAACCTGTAAGTCTCTCTCCCTTTTCTTCTTTCCTTCTCCTTCCCTTTCTGGGGGAAGAAAGGGGTTAATAGAGAGCGTCTGCCATCTTCTTTAAGTTCCGGCCCAGCATTAAGTGGTGACACTGTGGAATTTAATACTGGAATTAAATTGTACGAGGAAACTAAAAGTTTGCAATTTTCAAAGTCAGATTGGATAGTTCTCTGGATAACAAGTAGATTTAGAGAAGAGGAAGGAACTGGTTTTTTGAATCCCATGAGTTTTTGAAGTTTCATATCTGTGACCTGGAAGCAATACAACCCCAAATATTTTAGTTCTTCCCTTAAAAATTTGCAGGACTGACTTGCTCACACTATGATAACTTATAGTCATGATTAGGAAACTCATTGCAGAAGTGGAAGACAGGCATGGAGGTTCCTTGTTTTGCTGATTTAGACGTGGGATTTGAAATTTTGTGTCTCAAAACCAAATGCGTACTTTCACTACCAGGCTATTGGCTATTCTTTGGTGGGTCTCTCTCAGTCTCCTATCACACATGTAATTAAAATCATCAAAAACCAGGATCTGTTTGTCTTACCCCTTTCCTCCCTTCCTTGCTGTTCTTGAGCAGTCTGAGAGAATTGCCTTCTTCTGCCTTTGCTCAGAGGTTAGCAATATTTCCGAGACTTGACTGTTATATTTTACCTTTGGGAGTACACTGTATCTTAGACCATCCCTGAATGAGCATGGAAAAACCTAGCAATGTAACAGTCTTGTACACCACATAAACACCTGTCATTTTTTACTGTCCATCCTTGGAGGTATTCAAGACCTGACCGCATAAAGCCGTGAAGAACCTGATCTGACCTTACAGCTGACCCTGCTTTGAGCAGGAGGTCAGACTGGAGACCTTCTGTTGTCCCTTCCAGCCTGAATTGTTCTATGATTCTATAATATCCAGGCTGCTGCTACAGCATAGCTCCTATAGGCCAGGTAATGTAGACTGGGGCCATTCAGCCCTATTCAATGTTGGTGATGCAGAGAAGCTGTGGCATAATAGATTAGCACATACTTTGAAATTTTGGACGTTTTTTCAGGTAAATATCAGTCTGCATGTAAAAAAAAGGTGACTCTCTCTGTAGCTTTTCTGGGAAAACAGTGCAAAACATAAGGCAGGTCACCAGCTGCCTATTTTAGTTGGGAGCACTGACTAGGAAGGGGTTCTTCTAAAACCAGTTGCTTCAGAAATTATTTATCTTCCCAGTATATGCTCTACTTGTGGTATCTACAACTCCTGAATTGGTTGCAATGCTTTCAGTACAGTAAATTTTCTTGAAAGACCTTGAATACAATGGTTAGACTGTCAGAACCAATTAGATCAATAGATAGCACAAACTTTACTGGAAATTATATCCAATGTGACATTTTTGTCTATGAAATGCAGCTCGAACCTACAGTGGACACAGCTATCATGACAATTATATAAACCATGTGATTCAACCTTTGCTGGTCAACAACCAACATACTAGATCCACCTCACAGCTCCTTACTGGCAATTAAGTACCTTTATTTACAGAGCGACTGTCATTTTACTTTTGCTTAAACGTTTGTGTATTATTTGACATACTTATCCTTAACACATTAGCTGGTACAAACCTTAGGTATTGCCAATCTGATTTTTTATACATCTGAACGTATGATTTTGAATTAAGACATTCCTCACCAACACCATCCTTTGAAAAAAAGTTCTTTTATGTGACTTCTATTACTGATCATAGAAAACCTGGATGTGTGGAAGAATGTCAGTTGACCTGTGACAGGATGTTGAAAAAAGAAGAAACAAAACAAAATACGTGAACAACCTGAAAAACATATGGGCTAAGATGTGAGATTTTTGGTGAAGGATTTAACAGTGTAATCTTAACCTTGCTATTCTAAGTAATAAGCTAGTATAATTCTGTAGTCACTACTAAGCAGTAGAATCTCATATGAGAACCTGGTACATAATTTATGTTTATGCCTCTGAAAAAGAAAAAAAGGATCTTTCCAGTTTTTATCTGTGATTATTTCACTCCAGTATCAGACAAAAAATGACACCAGTACAAGAAATGCACCATAAAAAGCAGGATGCAAATTTATTTAACCACCAGATAAGCCATGATCATTAGCCAGTGCTGAAGTACAGGGCCATGTCTATAACTCCTTTGTTCTAAGTTGGTAGCAGAAAAAGAACCTCCAAATTTGAGGATTTCATTCCCTTTTCCCCAGAGCCTCACCCTCGTCGCCTGCTTTAACACCAAAGTCACTTCCAGTCCTAGGCATGTAAGCATTCGTCACTAGCCAACCTTCTGTATCCACCCAAACATGTCCATTCCAAGCAGGGACATAGCATTGCACCAACTGAACCCAGATGCAATCTGAGAGGAAAGTCCTTGTAGAAGGAACAGGAAGGTGGACATATGACAGCAAGGCTTCCTGATAGAAAAAGTTCTGTAACAATAGGGCTGCCAATTCCCAATATTGGAAGTTAACTGCTGAAAGAAAGTCTACTGAATTCATCTGGTTTATATCAACAAAGGAATTTCTCATTACTAGTTAAAGATGAACTTAATATTCACACAACCTTTCTCATGCATGAACGAAGACTTGCTAGTGTCTCCTTATAGTGTTAAAATATTCCCAGGCTTTTGGACTGGGTAGCATTAATTATCTGGACCTTCTATAAGTAGTGTGACAACACTTTTGTCCTCTGCTCTGCCTGCCTTGAGTCTTAACTGATCCTGCCAGAGTTGCATCTTAACCAAACAGAGTGCTCTGCCTTGACCTCCTGAAGAAGAAAAAAATAGCTCACACTTCCAAGGCACAGAAAAAAAAAAATATTCTGGACCAGAGCTACAAAGGACCCTGGAGTACCCAGAGCAGATGACAGTAAACTAAGTTGTCAAATCTATGTTCATCATCAGCTGTCTAGCAACATATGACCAAACGCATGACTACATAGAGAACTGTGAATGGAAACAAGGTGCCTTCTTTAGAAGGAAAAGTTTACTAGCTGTTCTGGAAGGATTTGCTAGTCTCCTTTCCATAAAATGTGTAATTCTACTAAAAAAGAACAAGAAACTCTCTCAAATTGGACCTGTGTTGTTGAAAGCATTCTCTTGACTGTCTGCATTGAATGTTTCAAAGCTGACTGGGCAACTCCTTAGGTTCATTAGAGGTTAGGGGTGCAGACTCTGCTGTAGTGAAAATGAGCTTTTGGAAATCATCAGGGCAGTTTGTT